GGTTCCTCCAGACTACTTCACAAGATATTACTGCCACCCTTGCCCACTCAGGTATAGCTTGTCTATCATCCAAACCCTCTCCCTGGATTATTGACTCTGGAGCCTCTGATCACATGACCAGGACTCTAGGTGTGTTCTCTTCCCTCTCTGAAACTTCCACATCTCAAACTGTTACCCTTGCCAACGATTCCTCTTCTCCCATCTGTGGTGTTAGTAATTTTGACACAGCTTCTCTTTCTTTATCATCTGTTCTATATGTCCCTAAGTTTCCATTCAATCTTATGTCTGTTAGTAAATTAACCAAGACTCTTAATTGCTCTATTACATTTTTCCCTTCCTTTTGTGTTTTTCAGGATCTCAAGACGGGGAAAAAGATTGGTGGGGGGCATGARGCTGGTGGATTGTATTACCTTGACGGTGGTGGATCGTCAGTTGCACTTCAGACGTCATTCACTCCTCTACAATGGCATTGTCGACTAGAACATCCATCTCTCAAGGCACTCAAGATACTGGTCCCATCTTTGAATCATTTGTTGTCTTTACAGTGTGAGTCGTGTCAGTATGGGAAACATCGTTGTGTTCCCTTCAGTCCTAGAGTTGAGAGTCGTATGTTGAGTCCTTATGCTTTGGTCCATTCAGATGTTTGGGACCCGATTAAAATAGTCTTATAATGGTTACAAGTATTTTGTCACTTTTATTGATGATTGTTCAATGATGACATGGATTTATTTAATGAAAGAAAGGAGTAAATTATTTTCCATTTTTCAAAAATTCCATGCTGAAATATGTACACAATTTGGTGTTCCAATCAAAGTTCTTCGTTCAGATAACGGTCGTGAATACTTTCTTACTTCCTTTCAACAGTATTTAGAACAACATGGCATCATTCATCAAACTTCATGTGCATCCACTCCTCAACAAAATGGGGTGGCCAAACGAAAGAATCGTCATCTCCTTGAAACTGCTCGGTCTATTCTTCATCATATGAATGTTCTTAAACGATTTTGGAGTGATGTTGTACTTACTGTGTGTTTCCTTATTAATCGGATGCCATCCTTCATTCTTCATGGTCGGTCTCCCTTCTCTATCTTGCTCCCCACTTTGTCTCCCTTTCCATTAACACCTCGTATCTTTGGCTGTGTGTGCTTTGTTCACAATCTGAGTCCTGGAATAGACAAGTTGGATGCATGCTATTAAGTGTGTCTTTCTTGGCTACTCTCAGACTCAGAAAGGGTACAAGTGTTACAATCCCATTACTCGGAAGTGCCATGTCTGTCCTGATGTCACCTTTTTTGAGTCCGTCCCCTTCTTCTCGGGACCTGATGTATCTGTGTCTCCACCATTGCTTCCTCTTCCTCTTCCAGTCAGTGATCCCGTTCTGGGTGTTCCAATTGGGGTGACCCTTCACCTCCTCCTGTGCAGCTCCCTACTGAACGACCACCGATCCGGCACGTGTATACTCATCGACAGACACCAGCTCCTCCTCCAGCTTCTACCTTRTCTGCGGATCCTGTTGTTGCTCCTGTTCCTGAACCTTCAGGACTTGATCTTCCCATTGCTTTACGAAAAGGTAAACATAGTTGTACCCTCCATCCCATTTCCAATTTTGTTTTAGTATCTCGCCTTTCCGCTTCACATCGCTAGTTTGTTTTACTATTGTCATCTATTTCTATACCTAAGAATGTTCCAGAGGCTCTTAGCTCACCTGGGTGGCAGCAAGCAATGGAGGAGGAACTCTCTGCCCTTCAGCATACTCATACGTGGGAGCTCACTACTCTTCCACCTGGTAAGCATGTTGTGGGTTGTAAATGGGTGTATATTGTTAAATACTTGCCAGATGGTAGTGTGAAGCGTCTGAAGGCCAGACTTGTTGCTAAAGGTTATTCACAGTTGTATGGAGTGGACTATGTGGAGACCTTCTCTCCAGTGGCTAAGGTTGGCTCTGTCCGTGTCTTAATTTTCCTGGCAGTTATGTATGATTGGCCCTTGTTTCAACTTGACATTAAAAATGCCTTCCTTCATGGTGACCTTATGGAGGAGGTATA